TTGGAGAAAGGGAGCTTAAATTAATTTCTTGAAATATGAAAATAAAAGATTAAAGCATATCACCCATTAGGCCTAACATTTTATTTTAAAATGTAACTTTGTTTTTTCTTTTTTTTTGAGCCAGCAGATCTACTGACCCCCAGCACAACCACTGATGTACCTGCTTGCAGAGCCATTTTCCCATGATACTGTAAGCTTAGGCTAGGGTCTGGCTCCATATTTAAGGCCTAGGCTCTAACCTAATGTTAGAGGCCTACAGTACTGGCAGTAGCACTAATTTACTGAATATTTGATTTAATGAATATTATTATAAAAGACATTAGATGATAAAATTTAATGTTAATGGAAATTTTTGTTAAAATTAGGCCTACCTGGTTTAATAAAGGTTTAACAAGCTATATATAATTATTGTGTACAGTGCCACAATGATGTGGTACTTTGTGTTATGTAACACTGATGTAAACTGGTAACCTAAGATCTGCACGGTCGAACAATTTTTATTTTCCATGACAATGAACTTCCAAACTTATGTTAAATCTCTTACATCTAAAGCTAGGCCTAGGGACCTCTTCAAAATACTTCTAGGAATCGTAAACCTAATGTAGGCTGACAATTCTTGAAATTTTCTGGAGTGAAAGTTTAAAAGGGATTCTCAAGTAAATTTGTCTGTGATTGTTCAGTAGTGCACAGGTGAGGAAAAATTGATCTGACATTGTCAGACTGGTAACTTCACCACTGGATTTACCCAATATGTTGTATGTTTTGTTTTTTTCCATCTGAATGCTAAAGTAATTCACATTCTTAATAAATTTATCTAATGGTTTTGACTAAATTTTCCCAAACCTTGAATGTCTTTATGCAGTTGACTTGTGTTTTTTCGGTTGAGAGATGATCTCTGTCTGAACTTGGACCTTTAGTTATATGTGTAATCTGTATCTGAATGTGGATGTTTTACTATACATGTAATATATCTAATAAAGAATGTTTTACTATACATGTAATATATCTAAAAAGGATGTTTTACTATACATGTAATACATGTAATAAAGGATGTTTTACTATACATGTAATACATCTAATAAAGGATGTTTCACTATACATGTAATATATCTAATAAAGGATGTTTTACTATACATGTAATTTCTACCTGAACTTGGATGTTTTGTTATATGTATAATCTGTTCAAACTGGGATGTACTTCTAATATCTTTAAATTTGTATGTTTTGCTATATACATAATCTGTATCTAAACCTGGTTGTTTTGCTATATATGTAATCTGTAAATCAACTTGGTTGTTTTGTTATCATGTAATCTTTATCTAAAGTCATATGTTTTTCTGTATATGTAATATACCTTAATTTGGTTGTTTTACTGCACGTGTAGATATGTGGTCATTTTGTTTTATGTACTCTGCATTGAAGTGTATGGTATTAACTAAATCAGAGACAGGGATAAACAAACCAGTCATAACATGCTCTCCACAATCCACCAGAATACTATAAAGACCTTACACACACTGACCTGAAGACGAAAGGTGGAAGACTTTGAAAATATCGTCCTCTACACTTGTGTCTCTACAACAAGCAGTTGCCATCCATTTTACAAAGTTTCATCATTAATACTCTGCCTAAACAATCTATCAAAGAACACGTTATATGTTCATGTCTGTAAGCTAAGAATTTGAACTTTCTTGAGAGGGAAATTCAAGAAGATTATTTAAAAACCGAGGTTAAACTATCATTTATTTGGCTAATTAAAAACTTCAGATAACTTAAATGCCATCAGTGGTTTAAAGTCAGATACAAAGGTCAAATTAGTTTGTTTTGTTACATGTTGCCAAATTTGGTAATTTGTAGTCCTGGGTTTTGATTGTACATATAATTCAATTTACATTTGAGGCTAGTGGTAAATGTCACACAAAGGTCAGGTTATTTCATTATATAACTTTGTGAAGCTATAGGCAATAGGTTGTAGTTGTGTATTAAAATCATGATAAATTATGGTTACAGAAAGATCAGACCTTTTTTGTTTGTTTCTTGTTCAAGGTAGTATGGCAAACATGATATTCAGTGAAATAGATGTTTTAAACACTTTATTAGCCAAAGCATTGCTTAACTTAGTGTGTAAGTTATACAGGTGCTTACCATCAGTCAGATTGTGAATACAAGTTATAGTTGTGTTTTTGCTTTCTTCATGAAGACATTTCAGAATATGTAAAACATTGTCTGAAGTTTAGTGTATATAAAAAAAAGCTATACATAAAGGTCAGTATTCATCTTTTCTTCTTTGAAAATGTTCTATTTTATTAACTTCAAGTTTACTGGGATCTCAGAATAAATAATATATATATATATTGTATACCTTTCTATAAGTCATCAACCATCCTCAAGTTAATTTAATATATTTTAAAACAAAACATTATATATACAAGAAAGTTATTTGAATGTACAAAAACAGTTGTACATGCAGTATTGTAGAACAATGATTATTAAACTGAAACTTTTGTTTTCATTCAGAAAGGGCAACTGATATTTTTAATTTCTTTCACACAAAAATGAATCATGCTACATTGGCTGTGTGTGTATATATGTATGAATAATAGAGTAGATTATAGATATTCTTGGCTCGTTTATAGTTGTGAACTATACGTGGACCTAATCTTCCAGGGTCAGTAAATACTAGCTACTAAGAAGTAGTGAATTTATTGTCTTGAAAGCTGTAAAAACATTCATTTGATTTCATGGACCACTTGTTCACTTCTGAACATGAGAAATGAGTGGAAGTTCTGATAATATTTAATAAATTTGAAAATGTCTATTTGTATTTTTGACTGAATGATTCATAACCCAAACATTGTTTTTATTTTCAAAAAACACTCGCAGTGTTGAAAACACCTATAGATGATTGGTCTATAGAAACAATCTAGATTCTTATCTGTTTATTAATGAATCAATATGCATGCTGTTTTAAGTGTAAGAAATAAAGATTTTTAAAAAATTATGTACTTTTATTTCAGATGGACAGTGGAAATGTGAAATTTGTGACAAAGTCCTGCACACTAATTCAGGGTATAGAAGGCACATGCAAGGCCACTCTGGACTTAACCGAAACTACCATTGTGATCTATGCCTGAAAGTGTTTCACTGGAAAGACAGTCTTTTGCGACACAGAAAAATTGTTCATCCTCATGACAGTTAAATCAGCCTCTGTGCAAAAGCTGCCCGAGCATTCTAACAAACAAAAAAATAAAATTAATCAGGGTTTTTTGATGATATTTTAGACTATTGCTTTCACCTAGTTCTGGAGAAAATATTTACTGCAGTGCTTTATAAAATTAGTGATGTTGTTTAACATTATTAAACACCCTTTGTATATAAAAAAAAGGTTTAAGTGTGATTAAATCCAATTATTAATGATTTAAATGCTGCTTCATATGAAAATAAGTGTTTTGTCAGAGAAGTGGATTTTAATCTATAATTTATATAATAAACTTCCTTCAAGCTGCAATTATCCAAAATGAGGCTTATAATAAAAATGTATTTTCAGAGAAGTCAGTTTTAATATATCATTTATAAAATGAATTCTTCTCAAGTTTCAGTTAGTCGAAATGAAGTATATAAGTAATGGAAAAAAATAATGCTTGAGGGTAAGATGCAACCCATTAACTAAAAAAAAAAAAATTCTAAAGTTACAGCATTTATTTAAAGATGAAAATTAAGTCTAATTGTCAAGAGAACTTTGGTTGTGACTGTCTTTATTTAGGCTTATAAATGCAATTGTGATAATCTATTCCTTAAATAAATCAAACTGTTATTTTTCCATCATATGAAGTGTGTATAATTATTTTAATATATATTACTTATTTTTGCAAGCATATAAAATGTTGTGCATGTAAATTAGGAAAAAAAGTTTAACTTGACAATTGGTAATGTAGAAACTGAAGTTAATGAATTATTTTTTTATTTAGAAATCAAGAGAAAGGAATTAGAACATAATGATAACACTGTGTATTTATGAAGTTAATTTTTATATTGTAAAACTTCATTAAAGATTTTTATTTAAGTAATCATGTCGTAATTGAATTACATTGCTTATCTCTCTATCAATTATCCCTTTTCATTTGTAGCAATAGCCATCCATAAACCTTAATTCACAGTCATCCATATGTTGATGAAATTTAAACATTCAAGTTTACATCTAAAAAAACTTACTTAACATTGTTTTCTCAATGTCACTTTGTCTTGATTTGAATTGCTGTATAACAAGGTTCAATAAATTTGTTATAATAAATTTGGTTTGATTATAATGAATAAAATATTAAATAGTAGAAAGCACTAGTCAGAATTATTATAAGCTGGAAGTAACATTTACTTATTTTATATAAATTATGCAATAGTATACAAGCACATCAATCACTAGGTGTAAAATAATTTTTCCTTAATAAGCAAGTTTCAGTTTCTTTTTGGTTGAATAAATTTAATTATTTTTAGGTAATCTCCAGTGGACTGTCCAGAGTTTTCATCCTACTCCTCTGAAACAACGTCGGGAGCTTTACAACTGTACAATATGTGGAAAAAGTTTCAAGGCAAAGAAGTATTTGGATCAGCATTTACACAGTCATACAGTACGGTCATTTGAATGCCCTCGATGTTTGTTGAGGTTTCGTTGGAAGAAAAACTACATGTATCATGTCAATAAGAATGTTTGTCAACCTCACTGGTCTTCGACACTTGGTTGTATAAATTAGTACCGATGTAATAAAAAATAGTCATGTTACATGAAGATTCACCTGAAAAAAAAAACTATTATTTTATGAAGAGTTTCATCAACATAGTCTCACTTCTTGTTTGTACAAATTTGATATCAGTATTTTGTTATAGTTTAGTCATCTATGTACCTGTGGGGAGTGGCTGTACAGGTGTTTTCTAAGTTATCATATCCTTCAGTTGGTCTTTGAAACTGTTGTACATATAAAAAACAGCAATGATGTTTTAGTACATGATTGTACAGATTACATTTTCTGTTTTGTTTAGTTTATTATTTAATAGTTTTTGAAGATTCATCACAACTTGAGTGTATGAATTACTACCAGTATTTTGTGTGTTTGTTCAGAAATTTTGATGCATTGTTTTATTAGTCATCAGCAAAGATAATTTACATCATGGTTATGGCTAGTTATGAGGTCACCGAGGTCCAGACCTTGGTTAAAATTTGAAATTAAATGTAATGTACTCTTTAATTTTAAACCAATATGGAAGAGGTATACAATATATTAGGCTGACCCCTATGTGCGTATTGGTGTTTGGACCTCTGGAAAATTTTCACTCTAGCTATGGCCATGTTTCACATTAGTTGATTTTTTTAAGAGTATGATCTCTTTTTTGTACATACATAATAATTAATTCCTTGTAGTGCTCATCAAAAGTATTTATATAATTACTGCATCTGTTATAAAAAATTATAGATTTTTTTTTATGATAAATAGGGTACACTGACATCTTGATAAAGAGAATTACTTTAACACAGATTAACTACATGAAAATGTTCTCTGAAAACAAAAGTTGTTACAACTATTGTGTAACGTTTATATATGTGTGTGTGTGTGAAATAAAGTGAATAGGTAACATCAGATGCTTTTAGCACCATTAGTAGATAAACTTAACTACCAAGCATAATTTTTGAAAAGATTAATTACAACAATGGTAAAAAAATTTAACATTTTATTCTGGTTGTTTTAGATTATATTTATTCTACTTTCAGCAATGTACTTTGAAAACTACTAGGTTATTGCATTTTGGAAAACTAGGAAAAACACAAATAGGTTAGTTGTAAGGTCAACATTAAAGAAACTGTTGATTAGTAAATGTCAACATCATCACAAATTCCTCTCACTTGAAGCTTTTTTTTTATTTGGTTCTGACTCCTTTGTTTGATTAGTTTTTACCTCTAACAATGTCAGTTCTTTTATTTTCCTATCCTGTTTTTTTTTATTTTATATATACATTATTTTTATTTATTTATGTAAATTCTATGAGCTTCAGTTTTTGCTATAATGGGGAAAATAAATAACTTATGAAGATTTGAATGAGGTCTTACTGTTGGTGCTTGATTAGTAGGTTTCTCAGTTGCAAGAATGGCCAAGCTGACTGGCTAGTCAAAGGACACTGTATCCTGACAAAAAAGCATGGTTATCAGATGAAAACACTGTAAAATAAGGGAAATTCTGGTTGGAACAGAAATTTATCAGACAGGGATAGAAGGCAAGTAAATATGAAGGATTGCTCAAGCTAACAGACATAGAACTATGTGTGTGAACTGATAGATTATAATGATCCAGAAGCATCCACTTCCACAAACATGATGTGTAGGAAGTTGATTGAAATTAACTTTGGTAATTGTGCCTTTTTACATAAACCCCTTATCTCTGTCAGCAATCATCAGAAACATTTTCAGTGGTGCTTAGATCATCAGGATTGGATCGTTACCCAATGGATGTATATAATGTGGTCAGATGAATCACGCTTTACATTGTTATGCACTTTTCTGCAGTATGGTAGGGCTAGAGAGTAGCAACAACTAAATAAAGTCATGCACCCATCCTGTATAATCTCCATTATACAAGGTCTTGGAAGTGATGTAATGTCATGGGGCTTGTTTATGTGTCATGGTCTAGGTTTCCTGGTTCTCTTGAATGATCATATCTATGCTTGTGAATATTTGACTCCCTAACTGACCAAAAGTACATGGTGTCTTCCAGGATGATAATGCCACAGAGCTAAAATTGTTCATGTTTGATTCACTGAGTGTGATACAGAATTCTTAACATCTGCCCTGGCCTGTACAGTTTCTTGGTCTCAGTCCTATCAAACATTTATGGGATGACTTAAAAAGAGCTGTAAACTGCATCAAGATTACAGATAACATTGATTTAGTAATGGTCAGATATTGAAACAGACACCTTTCAAGCATTAATGGAGCCAATACCATATTATATCTAGGCACATGTTGTCTAACATGTTATAAGGTTGGGGTTTCTATAGTTTGATCAATGAGTATACATATTTATATGTTTTGAATGACTCACAAAGATATGTGTTATAATATGTTCTGAAAAGAAACAACTAGTTAAAAATGATTTTTTGTAATAGCTATCATAAGTATTGAGTACTTACATTTGATGTACCTGACACAATTCATACACTTAATATGCAAACAGGTATGTAGCTAACATATATCTGTTTTATTGCAAAGAATTGATGTATTATGAGATGATGTTCAAGACAAAATATGATGTAATTCCATAAAATTGATTAAAGAATATGAAAAGGGTAAATCCTGCATTTTTTCTTCTTTCCCCCAAAAGAGCACATGGCTGTTGTTGTTGGCTATAAACTTTGCCATGTTTATTCAAGAACTTTATGATATTTGATTAACTTTGAAGAGCACATAGCTTTAAACTTCATGTGTTTATTCAAGAACACTTTTTGATATTTGATTAACCTTGAAGAGCACATGGCAGTAAACCTTCATGTGTTTATTCAAGAGTGTTTTTGATATTTGATTAACCTTGAAAAGCACATAGCAGTAAACCTTCATGTGTTTATTCAAGAGTGTTTTTTGATATTTGATTAACCTTGAAGAGCACATAGCAGTAAACCTTCATGTGTTTATTCAAGAGTGTTTTTTGATATTTGATTAACCTTGAAGAGCACATAGCAGTAAACCTTCATGTGTTTATTCAAGAGTGTTTTTTGATATTTAATTAACAACCTTGAAGAGCACGTGGCCATAAACTCTGATGTATTTATTCAAGTGTTTTTTGATATTGGATTAACCTTGAAGAGCACTTCGCTGCAAGTGAATCAAACGTTTTGTGATTATCAGCCATAAGTGTTTTCCAAAGATGAATGTTAATCAAGATATGAGGCTTTAAGCAGACTAAACTTCCTGATTTTGTGTGGGAGGATGTTTGGGCCAAACACAAAATGACATAGATTTATTACTTTTCTGCCAGTCAGATAGATAGATCTGAATTGTCTAGTTGATCTGTACTTGGTGCCCCCCAGTGGCACAGCGGTACGTCTGCGGACCTACAACGCTAGAAACCGGGTTTTGATACTCGTGGTGGGCAGAGCACAGATATCCCATTGTGTAGCTTTGTGCATAGAATCAAACAAACAAACTGTACTTGGTCTTCAAGTATATATGTTATGTAAAGTTTACATCCTGTTTTCAATATCTGTTTCATGTATTTGTGATCTTATTTGACTTTCTTTATTTGTTTACATAACACTGTATTTTTATATATGTAGCTGTTCAGTCATTCTAAAAATACAGCATGTTAAGTTTTATAATTAGTAGCTATGATTCACCTTCAAAAATATTATCTTGTAACTAGTAATTAAGAATAGTGTGATTCACCTTATGTATATACAATATATATATATTTTCCATTTGGGAGAAGTATTAGATGTGTAAAAACAATTATGCTATTTTAATAATTAGGATATTTTAAAAGTTTATTTCTACCTGAATCACTAAAACAAATACTTATTTTCACTTATGATTTTTCATTTCTCCTAGATAAATCTGTGGATTCTCACATGTACTGGGTGCCCTCCCAAGCCTGTCAATTAGTATTTCGATGTCCTGTTTGTAAAAAAGATTTCAAAGCTCGTAGGAACTTGAAGCAACACATGCAAGGCCACGGAGAACAACTTCATTGTCCCAAGTGCTTTATGAATTTTAGATGGAAGTGTAACCTGTCCTACCACACACGTCACCGTTGTCCTTACAGAAATACAACAGTTGACGAGAAATGATGTCTTCTTTTTTTTTTAATTATTTATTTCATAAGGTGCTAAATGTGCAAAACACCATCCATAGGTTGGAAGTTGAAATTTTATTTGTTATTGTTGATAATAGCCTTGAACATTTCCCATGATGTGTATTATTTATGAAATGAATAGTCATTGGGTACTGTTTCTGGACAAGCTGAATTGATATATATGTTTCTGCAGACAAATAACAAGTGGTTCTTGTTAATAAAATTTGTTTTTATAATTATGTAAGTATGGCTCATTGTATCTTGGATTAGGTAAAATATGGTGTTAACTGTGGTTTTGTAAGAAGAAAAATCAAGATTATTTAAAAATAAAGGTTAGTTTATTTTAGTAGTGTTGTTAATTACTTATACTAGTATAATTATTTTGAAAAAGTGTGCAGATATTTTTATGTGTGAATTTTTCACAGGCTTTGGATTTGTACCTTTTAATTAACTTAGCCATTTTTGGAAAATGTGAATTATGGTTAGAAAAAGCAAGTTTGTAATGGCAATATCTGGTAATCTGTATTATTCAGTGTCCACAATATTAGATGAATAAGAAGTTTTGTGCTATTTATTGAATAAATACCTTTTTTTTTTACTTCATACAACTCTAAGGACATACCTTTGTGTGTGCTAGGTAAACAGAAATGACAGCTTGACTGTTCACAGAATATGTTAGTAGTAGCCATTTGTGTTTGGGTACAAAGTGTTTTGGTAGTCAAATATGCTACTTCAAATACAATCATTCATGACATCATAAAGTGTGTATACATATCTAAAAACTAAAATTTATTCTTGTATACTAAGTGCCAGATCTGTAATCCATTATTTTGAAAATTACTGGATAAAAAATGAAAGTGTATAGACCCTTACCAGAGTTACTGTCTCTGTTTTTACTTGTGAAAATGTGTATTCAGAAGTTTGATGTTAATGAACTTGTACTGGTTGTTATTGGATAAAAAATGAAAGTGTATAGACCCTTACCAGAGTTACTGTCTCTGTTTTTACTTGTGAAAATGTGTATTCAGAAGTTTGATGTTAATGAACTTGAAATATTCTAACAGAAAAGGTAGATTTTTGAATCTGTATGTACTGTGGTGTAAACAGTTCTCTCAAAATAAAGCATTGATGATAGATTTCAAAATAAACAATATATATATTTATTAATGAGTATTAACATCCAAGAAAAAAAGGGAATCAGTACGGGAAAAGAACAGCTATATAATCTATGAAATTCTCTCATATGTGTTATTGTGTGGTAGATAAAATGTTGATGACAGTTTAGATGGTAATACTATATATTATATTTATTTCAGGATTTTATTTAATGCACTTTGCTGCGACGTAACATGTTTTTCTACCATAGTTATGTGTTCAGTCGTATTCAACACACGCTTATTACTAAGAGTTTTGATTAACGGAAGGGGCTTTTCAATAATCCCCCCCCCCCCCAAAAAAAAAAACGTAATGGACTAAAACTTAAAAATGAAAGGTATGGGGTTATAGTAAAACTAATTTTTTTATTTTGAGTTAAAAAGTAATGTTGTTAAAATATCATTTGCTTTAAGAAACTTTAATTTGCTTTATACAATGTTTTGAAATGTATGCAATGTAATAAGATCACTGATGAACTGTCCCCCATAGTTAGATTTGACTTCAATATAATAATAACATAAGAGGCCTTTCTGTTACAAAAAAGGATTGAAATTTCGTTCTTATAAGACGAGTTTTTTGTGTTTTTTTTTTTCAGGTAATCCGGCTTTTGACTCGCATGGAGAATTGATAGAGTTGATGAGGATGGCATGCCCAGTTTGTGGAAAGATGTTTAAAGCTAGAAAGAATCTCCGACAACACATGGAGACCCACGGAGACATGTTTCAGTGTAAAAAATGCCTTATTAAATTCACCTTTCGTTCCAGCCTCACGCGGCATAATCGTACATCTTGTCCATTTCGTAACACCATTGAAAACATGGTTAATGAAACAACATAACGGGGTTAATAATGCTCGAATAAATCATGTAAGCTAAGTAGCTTGTGAGAAGGAAAAATAAAATTGTTGAGTGTGATATTCAACCCAATTCTAACACTGTCACCTGTTCGTTATCTGGTATAAGTCAAGAGAATACGTCTATTACGTGCAGGGAAAAAATACGTAAATTTGTTGTTACGCTGTTTTCACCGTCAGCAAAAATTCATCTTTTGAAAAGTGTTTTTTTTCTTTCTCTTTTAGCTGGATTTAATAAAAAAACAAAAACGCCCAATGTTAAAAAATTGGTTTGTGCGTCAGTTCGCAATTCTGATGTTTTTTTAAGTGTAGTATATCGATAATAAAGTTACTTTTGCTAGGTCTCAGCGAATGGCAATCAGTAACTTAGACCTTTATCATAATCGTGAAATGATTCATAAACAAAATTGTATTGTGTATATGTATTACCGTTTGATCTGATTAAATGATGTTTGTTTGGACATGATTTAACATCATCTCAATTTTTAACATTCAAAATATACAAGCCGCTTTCCGAATGAACGCGTACTGAACCATAAGTAGTGTGATAATATATTGTTACGTCTCCGTTCGTTAATTGATTATCCGTAAATTCGTTCCGACGAAACTTTAGCGACACAAGTACTTTCTTAAATACAACTGGTTTATTCTTTCCGAATACAACTTTACGATTCACTCAACTTCAACAGTCGTTTTGTAACAAACGCTATAATTCTCACGTGCTCGTTAATACTCAGTTCAATTACTCACTACTACACATTGTCCCGTCACGTTGTGACCATCTTATATATACCCAATCTAGTAATCTCCCGACAATTCACGAAGGTTCGAGAAAGAAGTGGCGTGACCTCGCTGACGCAACACTGCCCCCTCCTTAGTATTATTCGTCCCGAAAAATAGCCACTTACATTAAACCAATAACAATTAACAATAACTTAATTAAAATGTACAGAATTACAAACACAAAATTACAATTCAACAAAGTCTCTTAATTTTACGGGACGTATCTTCTTCCGTACTGGTCTCTGTCTCGTTGGCTTCTGCTTCATCAGGAAATGTCCTATCGTCGATAACAGTCACATCAGTGGTAGTAACTTCATCAAGAGCTTCACCGTTTCCCTTCTCAAAACTGAGGAGAGTTTCTTCTTCAGGTGGCACGTCTTCAGCAGCGTCATTTGTTTTGTTGGCATGCACCACTTTTGGCTTACCTCGCCGACCAAATTTTACCCAGAAAGTCACGTCTGAGAGACGATCCACTATGTCATATGGGCCTTCCCATAGAGAAGACAACTTAGGAGACTTCCCTTTGGTCTTCCTGGGATTATACAACCATACCTTGTCTCCTGGTACAAAGCTGACTTCAGTAGATCTCTTATCATAAATTAACTTCATCGAATTAGCAGATGTTTTCAAGTTTGAACCCACTTGATGGTGAATATCATCCATCCTTTCTGATAACACTTTTATAAACTCTGACACATTCTCAGGCAACTCTTCATAAGGTGGGCGTCCTGTTAACAGATCCATTGGCAACCGAAGTTCCCGACCAAACATCAACTTCGCTGGAGTGTATCCAGTGGTTTCATGCTCTGCTGTCCTATAGGCCATCAACAGTGGAGGGAGTAAGACATCCCAATCATCTTG